GTGGTACTCATATGCCACCAACTCCGTGTATATCAGCTCAGACAAAATAACTCCCTCTCATACTCGAATATAGATCGGTCTCCTTGAGTCATATGCAGAAATCAATCCTTCAAATCGTCAATGTGATCCTTACCTATGTAATTTTGATGAAACTCCTCCAAAAATTACTCCCAGGTAGATCGCTTAGGCTTCATCGCTAACTCCACAATCTATTACCAATCTATGTCTTCACCCTTCAGTAAGATGGTGACGCACTCCAACATACTCTCAAGGGTAAGATGTAGTTGACGAAGTGTCCTAAGGGTTTCTCTCAGTCATTAGTCGGCCACTATTGGGTCGTCGTCCCCTATTGGGCCGTCGTCCCCAGAGCAAAAGAAATTCAAGGTTTTGTACCTCCAGAGCCTCTCTACTGGGAACTCCTAAGGTGCTGCAGTAGGAGGGGTTGGCGGATCTTGCTGGGTAGGTGGCATAGTAGGTGTCCTGGAAATGACTCTCATTATGTGCCTAAGGGCAGATGTTAGATATCAAAATAAAGCCACCTTGTCGTCCTCACGTCACTCGGGACCTCAAACTCAGAATTAGGGACTATAACACCCTTAACATGTATACGTACTCAAATATTAGTTAAAGATGTCAAACTGACCTTTTATAACATTTCCTACTAAAAAACCTGTAAAATTATATTTCTTTCAAAAACATCAAATTTACTTTAATCACTAAAACATTTAATCGAGTAAAAATCGAAAAGAAATATTTTTATCATTAATTTCAAACCTGATTTTAAGTAGTAATGTAGTAATTCGATATTGTTTCCTATAACATTTAAAACTATCTAAAATTTGCATACTATAAAATCTATATTGATAACATTTAAAACATAACTTGGTAGACTACTATTCATGCATCTACTCTTTATTATACTTAGTAGTGTCCATTTTTAGTCTGTATATTTAATAGTTTACGGTTCGATATATACTATCATATCAGAGTAGCATAATACTCATAAAATATACATGTCACCTAGAAAATTCAAATCATTAGAAAATAACATATTAATACTAGAGAGCTGATACGATCTTCAAAAGTGATACCAAACCACGCTCCTTACTCCGATCCATTTCCTTTACCTACACGTGAAACAATCACGAGCTAAGTTTCCACTTAGTGAAACATACAAACTAAGGTAAGACATTTTATATTATGAAAAGATCATAAACAACCAGAGTGCAACTACCATGGTATAAAAATATATAAAGCTGATAATTCAAACCTTTTTTTCCTTTTAATAAATTGAACCTGAAAAATCATTCCTTAGTACATGTATAAGCATTTAGAGTCAAATCCAAACACTTAGTAAATAATAGTTTTCTTTTGACTCATATCACATATATAAACAGTTCATCACATAAAGGGCATATCATGCCAAAAATAATCTCATGATTTTATAAAAATCATGGTAATCAAAATCAGTCACAATAATCATTTCATATTCTTTTCCATTCATTCACATTTTAGAACTTTCACATTTCATTTTCATAACCCAATTTATATTTTAAGAGAATGCAAGGTATGTGAGTCAAACGAGTGTGGCCAATAAGCACTTCAGGTATTATCATCAGAAATAGAAATATGCACTCCAGATGCAATCATAAGATACATGAATAATCACTCCATGTGCCATCATATAATGTACACGAATGTACCAGATCAGAATCAAAATCGTAACCACTCTACCTCATGGCATGTCAATTGTACCTATGACTCTCAATGTAACATACAATGGTCTTTACAATAAATTCATGTCATTTATAAATCCAATTTTTCCATTCAGTAGCATTTTCATACATCTTTTATCAAAACCAATGCAATGGGCAGTTCATACTTGAAATCATCCATAAATTAAATACTGATGTCAGATAAAATACATTGGGCAACTTATACCCTAAAATAGTTTTAGAGAAACTAAATATCATATAAAAACATATTGGGTGATTAATACCCAAAATAAATCAAAAATTATTTCATTAAAAATTATAGAGATAATTCATAATTTGATTCAAAACTTTTCTCTTCAAAACTTTCGAGGTTGACTTATCGTAAATCTTCCTCCATCAAACATAATTTAAACAAATAAATGTACTCACGCGTCGCCGTGTGTATGTGGGGCTTGTTCCCCTTCTCTGGTTTCTTTTAGAACTAGTCAATTTGATTTGGACCGGTCTGAATCGGCCCACCCCGGTCAAAGCCGAGTCAATTCGACCCGACCCGTTGACTTTGACTTGACACATTGATCATTGACCGATCTGACCGTTGACTTTGACCGATCTGACCGTTGACTTTGACTGGTCTGACCGTTGACCGTTGAATTTGACCAAAAAGTCAAAATTTCTGAAAAATAATATCTTATGTTTTTGACATCCTGAGTCTAAATCTAAAGTCCATTTTTCCAAATTTGCACTCCAAATTTGGTTTTTCGATTAAGTTCATTTTCTGACGTAAATTCGTTTGCTATGTATTCGATACATGATGGGATGTGGACTTGAAGTTCAAAGGTGATCAAATGGAGTTTAAATGGTCGATCAATATGGCTCGTAAATCGAGATAATACATTATTACCTTATGCATGTTGTGTGGAACATGTTGGTATATGTAAATGCCTGGTTGAATATGTTTACATGTGTGTAGTTAAAATTATTAATCTCGGTCCGATTGCGAAATAAAATAAATTAAATTGAATAAGGCTTAGATTACCTGCATAGACATAAGAAGACTGATAATAATGATTTCAAGTTCAGTGATTATCCGAAAAAGCAAATAACCCATAATCTCTAAATTTTATTTATCCTCATTAAAAACTTTAATACCAAAAGACACAAAGGGGATATGGCGAAATTGGTAGACGCTACGGACTTAATTGGATTGAGCCTTGGTATGGAAACCTACTAAGTGATAACTTTCAAATTCAGAGAAACCCTGGAATGAAAAATGGGCAATCTTGAGCCAAATCCTATTATTTTACGAAAATAAACATAAACAAAGGTTCAGCAAGCGAAAATAATAATAATAAAAAAAGGAAAGGATAGGTACAGAGACTCAATGGAAGCTATTCTAACAAATGGGGTTGACTGTTGGTAAAGGAATCCTTATATCGAAACTCCAGAAAGGATGCAAGATATACCTATATAAATAATAAAAAAGAATAGGTATACTAATGAAAAACTATCTCAAAAAAGACGACTCGAACCCGTATTTTTTTTATATGCAAAATCTTTTTATATGAAAAATAAAAAGAATTGTTGTGAATCGATTCCACGTTGAAGAAAGAATCAAATAGAATATTCATTAATCAAATCATTCACTCCATAGTCTGATAAATCTTTTGAAAAACTGATTAATCGGACGAGAATAAAGATAGAGTCCCGTTCTACATGTCAATATCAATACCGACAATAATGAAATTTATAGTAAGAGGAAAATCCGTCGACTTTAAAACTCGTGAGGGTTCAAGTCCCTCTATCCCCAATCCCAAAAAGTCCATTTGCTATCTATTTATTTTATCCTACCCTTTTTGTTAGTGGTTCAAAGTTCCTTCTGTTTCTCATTCATCCTATTCTTTGCCATTTTACAAGCGTATCCTAGCAGAATTTTGTTCTCTTATCACAAGTCTTGTGATATATTGTGATATATGATACGTACAATCTCTTGAGCAAGGAATACCTATTTGAATGATTCATAATCCATATGATTACTCATATGGAAATTTACAAAGTCTTCATTTTAAAGATCCAAGAAATTTCCGTTCGGACTTTTAATTCATACTTTTCATTTTTTTTGTTTTCATTTTTAATTGACATAGACCCAAGTCATCTAATATTATGAGGATAATGCGTCGGTAATGGTTGGGATAGCTCAGTTGGTAGAGCAGAGGACTGAAAATCCTCGTGTCACCAGTTCAAATCTGGTTCCTGGCATATGATTCATTTGTATGAGTATCTACTCTACAAATTAACAAATTAATTGATATAGTTCGACATATAGATACTTAGCTACTAAGTATCTGGGAGTAAACCCTCTTTTTTTCTCTTTTTTAAATGAGGAAAGCAAAGAGTATATTATAATGTGTCTATTATTAAAAGAAATAATTTGCTTATCTTTCCTCTTCTTTTTTATTTGTTCACACTGTGGCTCCTCACATTCAAAAGAATGGTAATACTTACATATTTTTATAAACATATTTTATTAAAATGGACATCTTTTATTAAAATATTAAAATAGTTGGTTGAAAGGCCCAACCAAAAGTCTGGTCTAGAGGAGTTCAAGGCTAGAAATAACCAAGACTCATCTCAGCTATAGTACAAACAGTACAAATAGAATTTGATCCCTTTCATTTATTTCTTTGTATTCTCTTTCATATTCCATTTCTTCATTCCCTTCTATGTGACTCTCTAGAGTTCATCTAAGTGATGTGCGCGATACAAAGTTCACGGTACAGAACCCCTCTTGTTCATCCTATTATCTCGGCTCGTTCGAAATACAATAAAGAAGTCTCTTCCAAAATCGAGAATCTCAATGATGTATTGTCTTTTTTTCTTTTATTTATTAGCCTATCCATAAGAATACGAATGAAACCTCAATTGTTTCAGCTAGAAGAGAATGTGCAATATTCCTTGAATATTCGAAGTTGTAATTTAGTTTCTTATCATTCAATGAGCGTCTTGTATTTCATAAAATTGGGGGTAATAATCCTTACGTAAAGGCCACCCTATCCAACTTTCGGGCATTAAGATACGTTTCAGTCGGGGATGATTCTCATAAGAGATTCCCAACATGTCATAAGATTATCGTTCTTGAAAATCCGCACTTTTCCAAACCCAGAAAACAGTCGGAATTCTAGGGTTACTCCTTGGAGCAAATACTTTTATACATACTTCCTCCGGTTGATCTACACCATACTCTATTCTCGTAAGATGATACAAACTGGCTAACAGTCCACCTGGTGCTACATCATAGGCACATTGGGAACGGAGATAATTGTAACCATATACATATAAAATAACAACAATGGAATGCCAATCCTCGGGCTTTATTTGTAAAGTCTCTATTCCTTGGTAATCGAAGCCCAAAGATCTATGAACTAGCCCGTGTTTGACTAGCCAAACAGACAAACGACTCTGCATCTTTTTTATCTCTTCCGCACTTTTCTTTTTTATTTGTAATTTGTATAAGATAAGTATTTCACATTTACGATGAAATCTAATTTATGAAGATTAATTCGTTGATTTATGAAGATTAATTCATTGTTTGTTATTCTGTTTCTGTAAAAAAATCCTACCTAACCTAATTCACTAATTCGTGGGAAGATAGTGAACCCTTGTAGTTGAAAAACGTTTCAGGAGGAATCTCTGAAGTAGATGGTGGTTGATAGAGTAATCCTTGATTATAATTTCTAGTACGAGTACTGCGTACAAGACAAAACTTGTGATTGGTAGTAAAACACCGATCCCCCTGTTGAGATCTAATTCGATCTTCATAGATTTCGCAAGATATTTTCTTACGGAGTTTTGTTATAGCATCTATAACTGCCTCAGGTTTAGGGGGACAGCCCGGCAAATAGACATCCACAGGAATTAGCTTATCGACCCCCCGAACAGTACTATAAGAATCAGTACTGAACATCCCCCCTGTAATTGTACACGCACCCATAGCAATAACATATTTAGGTTCGGGCATTTGTTCATATAATCTCACTAAAGAGGGAGCCATTTTCATTGTTACTGTTCCTGCTGTTAAAATTAGGTCTGCCTGTCTAGGACTTGATCTTGGTACCAGCCCATAATGATCAAAGTCGAATCGTGAGCCTATTAATGAAGCAAATTCAATAAAGCAACAACTGGTACCATAAAGAAGTGGCCATAAACTGGAGAGTCTTGACCAATTTGAAAGATCATTTAATGTAGTTGAAATAGCTGAATTTTGGGTTGTTCGATCAAGTAAGGGAAATTCGATGGAATTCATACTCAATGTTATTATTTTTTACTTTTTTTCTTTTTTATTATCTGAATATTCAGGAACTAAGACCATTCCAATGCTCCTTTTCGCCATGCATAAACTAAACCAACAATTAGGATAAGCACAAAAATGAAAGCTTCTATGAATACGGGTACCCCCAATACATCGAAACTCATTGCCCATGGATAGAGAAAAACTGTTTCAACATCAAAAACAACAAAAACCAGAGCAAACATATAATAACGGATTCTAAATTGTAACCAAGCATCGCCCATTGGTTCTATACCCGATTCATAACTAGAAAGTTTTTCTGGACCCTTTCTAATCGGGGCTAAAACTCCAGAAATTAGAAATGCCAAAATAGGAATAGCACTTGATATTATTAGAAATGCCCAGAAAATATCATATTCGTAAAGCATAAACATAGACGAACTTCTATGAATGTGAAAAATAGATCGGATTAGTCGATTCGACCTGGAAGTCATTGTCAAGTCATCCACAACTATTTGTTTAGTCAAAACAACAATTCTGTTTGATCGAATCGTCTAGTTTCGTTTGTTTACTATGTTTCCATGTTGCGTTTTAAGATTTATTGATTGGAATTGGAATTAATGATTGGAATTGGAATTAATCCTATTTTATTTACATTACACTTATTTCAATTTAATTTCGATATAGTACTATATAGTATAATAGTATACAAATCCAAAACAAGTAATACTTTTTCGTTTTCACTTCATTTCGGATTTTTCAAAATTATTTTTCTAAATACTAAATAAAAATAAAAGGAATTCGAATATCTAACTAATATCTAATATGTATTAGAATTTTAGAAATAAAAAAACCTTAAAATTCGGAAATTCTATTTATTTTATTCTAAATCTAAATAATATATTTATATATATATTGAATATATATTTAATAGATTCTGTATGAAATTATGTTTATGAAAAGATCTTTGTTTTTCAAACTCTGACGTGTCAACAAATCCATACAATTAAGGCGCTCTTAGATCCGTGCGACTAATATTAGATTCGATTTGAGTTGAATTAGGTTTAGGTTGGTTTTTTTTCTTTTTTTTACCTTTACCGGATACAGGATCCGTGTCATAATTTTGACTCCAAGGATTCACAAAAATTTGGTGGTATACCGGAAGAAGTCTCACCAACTCTTTGATTACGGACAGTAAAAGAGGAAAATTCAATTTAGATAGAATCAATCTAAAATAAATCTACCCACGAGGATTAATTTAAAAAATGGGGTTTTGTTTATTTTATTCTTATCCAATCCAAGAAAACAAAAGAGTGATTGGATTCATTGAAATGTGCTTTAGTTTTCAAGTTTATGCTCTGAGTGATCTCCTTGTGAGCTAGCTTATGGAAATGATTTTAACCAAGCAACTGGAAGAGACCAGTTCCAATCAACAAAGAATACAATAATTAGCAAAAAAAGATACAAATTTTTTAGTTGTATTTGGATATTCTTTATTTTATTGTTTTAGTTTGCTTTAGTTTTAAGAATTTTCATTTTTATTAATTTAATGAATATTTAAAATTAAATTTAATGAATATTTAAAATTAATAAAAGAGATTAATAAAATAGAAAATATAGGGCTATACAGACTCGAACCGTAGACCTTCTCGGTAAAACAGATCGAACTGATTATTATCAAAATGATTCGGCCTATTTCAAAGACCCAACATTCATTTTTTTGCATTGGGCTCTTTCATTAACTGATAGAAAGATCAGCTAGTCTACCATATAATATATATTTTTCTAAGAGAAAAAAAGAAGATGGTTCCGTGTGCTCTGATTCATTACTGATACAGGAGCACTCCCAAAGTGGTTCAAAGAAAGGAAGGGTTATCTTGACGTAGGTCTGCTTCTGGCCTAGATCAACCTAAGTTAAATGGAGCCTCTATCATCCTAATTAAAAATCAAACATGAAACTTCATACACCTTAAGATTCATAGGACGAAAAGAGCATTTTTGAGGTCCTTATACTCATTATGCCTAGCATTGAATAGACTGGGTATTCACCCTATCAATATCTCAAATCAATGATGGGTTCGATTCGGATCCTGCCTAAACTAAACGGCACCCGAATCGGACCGAACCATTTGTCAGGCTATTGTTCTCTTGTTTTGTTCCTTTAAAGTAATGGAGTAAGACATTGATTTCTCAAAAGGATCAATTGTTTTGATTGAATGATAGACTTCCCAGAAAAATATTGGCGCGCGTGTAAACGAGGTGCTCTACCAACTGAGCTATAGCCCTTGTATTTGTGATACATAGTTTATCATATTATGTAGATAATTTCTTGTCAAGATGAATATTAGATGATCCAACATCATAATCATACCTTTTTGGTCGGTTTGATTGGTATTGCTTAGAAGTAATATTGGATTTATAATCCATCGATGTGATAAGTCCCTTTTCTTTCTCTTTATGATTCCTTATGATAATAAATGACCTACTTAACTCAGCGGTTAGAGTATTGCTTTCATACGGCGGGAGTCATTGGTTCAAATCCAATAGTAGGTAGAACTTATTAGATACCGTCGATCCCGGTGTCTAATAAGTTTGTCTACCCACCCTCTTTTATTTTTATTTATTTTTTCTCTTTTTCATCCTATTCTATTTTCAATTTTCAAATTTTTCGTTAGATCAAAATCTGATTTCACTTTTGATTGTATTTGATTCTATTTAATCGGCAGAATCAAAATGGGATGTATAAACTTCTGTTTATACGGAAATTCTTTCGATTAACCAACTAGTTACGAAATCGCGTTGATAGCCTCTACTCGTGTCCTAGCACGTCTGAGAGCTAGATTTGCCTCAATTGTTTGCCTCTTGCCTTCAGCTTTCCTCAAGTTAGCTTCCACTATTTCAAGAGCTTGCTGAGCCTCTTGTGGATCAATGTCACTACCCTTCTCCGCATCATTTACTAAAATAGTGATTTCATTGTTGCCTATTCTAGCAAAACCACCCATCAGAGCCATCGTTAACCATTGGTCGTTAAGGCGTATTCTCAAAATACCTATATCTACAGCTGTGGCAATAGGCGCGTGATTTGGTAATACGCCAATTTGTCCGCTATTAGTAGATAAAATGATTTCTTTCACTTCTGAATCCCAAACAATTCGATTAGGGGTAAGTACGCAAAGATTTAAGGTCATTTCTTCAATTTTCTCTCTATTTCTAAGTTTGTAGCCTTCGCAGTAGCTTCATCGATGTTACCTACCAAATAAAAGGCCTGTTCAGGAAGACCGTCTAATTCTCCGGAAAGGATCAATTTAAATCCTCTAATTGTTTATGCTAGGCCAACATATTTCCCCAGGGAACCGGTAAATACTTCCGCTACGAAAAAGGGTTATGATAAGAAACGCTCAATTTTTTCGCACTCTTGCTACGGTTAAGCGATCCTCTTCGGACAATTCGTCCAACCCAAGGATAGCTATAATGTCCTGAAGTTCTTTGTAACGTTGTAAGGTTTGCTTAACCCTTTGCGCAGTTTCATAATGTTCCTCACCAACGATTCGAGGTTGGAGCATAGTTGGCGTTAACTCTAAAGGATCTACCGCAGGATAAATACCTTTTGCAGCTAATCCTCTTGATAGTACGGTAGTAGCATCTAAATGCGCAAATGTTGTGGCAGGGGCAGGGTCGGTCAAATCATCCGCAGGTACATAAACTGCTTGAATAGAAGTTATGCATCCCTCCTTGGTAGAAGTAATTCTTTCTTGTAAAGTACCCATTTCGGTACTAAGGGTGGGTTGATAACCCACAGCAGAAGGCATTCTACCCAATAAGGCAGATACTTCGGATCCCGCTTGGACAAAACGGAAGATATTGTCTATAAATAGAAGTACGTCGTCTTGTTCATTAACATCTCGGAAATATTCCGTCATAGTTAGGGCAGTCAACCCAACTCTCATACGAGCTCCTGGCGGTTCATTCATCTGACCGTAGACTAAAGCCACTTTTGATTCCGCAAGATTTTGTTCATTAATTACTCCAGATTCTTTCATTTCCATGTAAAGATCATTTCCTTCACGAGTCCGTTAACCTACTCCGCCAAATACGGATACACCCCCATGAGCTTTCGCAATGTTGTTGATCAATTCCATAAATAAGTACTGTTTTACCTACCCCAGCCCCCCCAAATAGTCTAATTTTTCCTCCACGACGATAAGGAGCTAAAAGATCGACTACCTTAATTCCTGTTTCAAAAATAGATAATTTTGTATCTAATTGTATGAAAGCGGGCGCAGGTTTATGAATAGGGGATGTTGTACGAGTATCTACAGGACCTAAATTATCAACGGGCTCCCCAAGCATGTTAAAAATTCGTCCTAGGGTCGATCCGCCGACTGGAACACTTAGAGGACCCGTGTCAATCACTTCCATTCCTCTCGTTAGACCATCTGTAGCGCTCATAGCTACAGCTCTAACTCGATTATTTCCTAATAATTGTTGTACCTCACAAGTTACATTAATTTGTTGACCGGCGCGACCCTTAACTACTAAAGCGTTGTAAATATTAGGCATCTTGCCCGGGGGAAAGGCTACATCCAGTACTGGACCGATGATTTGAGAAATACGTCCCAGATTTTCTTTTTCAAGCGTGGAAACTCCAGGAACAGAAGTAGTAGGATTTATTCTCATAATATAATAAAGTGAAATATGTCAATTTTTTTTTAGAAAATTATCTAATACAAAATAAATCTTCGACAGGATGTTGATCGGTTAATTCAATAAGAAATTGGGGTTAGCGCTCGATTTCATTTCGTTGGTACCATCCAATTGAATTGCTTTCAATTGGATTGTTTCTTTATTCAATGAAGGAATTTTTTAAGTTCAACCAACCTATTTTCAAAATAGGAAGTGGATAAATAAAAATTTTGAGAGAGTCTTTCATTTGTCTATCATTATAGGCAATACCGTCCATATTATCTATGGAATTCGAACCCGAACTCTATTTATGATTCCTTATTTCTATCTCATTTTTCTATCTCATTTATCTCATTTCGTATTTTATTTTAGCATATCTATTTTTTTACGTCCAACCTCTCCCCCTTTTTCCATCTATATTCCTTTTTTTCAT